ACACCTTTAATCCCAGCTTTTGAGAGGCAGAGGCAGGTGGATCTCTGTGAGTTCGAGGCCAGAGGCCAGCCTGGTCTACAGAGTGAGTTCCAGGACAGCCAGAGCTACACAGAGAAACCCGGTCTCAACAAACAGACAAGAGCCGGGAAGTGGTTTCTTAGCATGCGCAAGGCTCAATCCTCAACACTGTATGAAACCAGCATGGTGGCACATGCCTGTTATCCCAGCTCTAGGGAGACAGGTGGAAGCAGGATAGTTAGAAGTTCAAAGTTATCTTGACTACACGTCAAGTTCAAGGCCAACCGAGGCTACACAAGACCGTGTCTCAAATATAAGTATGTAGTATGTATGACATAGGCTCTGGGCTAAGTAACCCTGGGAGGCTTCCAGCTTGCAATCCCGCCTCTGGCCTCCAGAGCTCAGATTACAGGCCTATGCCACTACACCCAAGTACCCGGTGGCTTTGATACGTTTCTGTGAGGTAACCCAATTCTAGACTCATCTAACGCACGTGTAGAACAATCGAGGAGGGAAATTTAGTTAGGAACAAGGCTGGCCGGGGAGCCGGGTGGCCCAATACGAATCTTACCCACTATTGGCACATGGTGGTTTATCTGGAGTGGAAGAGAAGGATGCTCACCCCATGATCCTACGCTCCGAGTAAGCCTTCCGCTTGTTGGTGAAGGGGGCGGCAAAGCCCATAAAGGAACGACTGGGAGGTAGGCCAGCCTCAGCCGCCAAGACCTGGGCAGCGCGGGGCAAGAAGAGGTTACAGGAAATCAGAAACCTAGCGCCAAAAAGGAAAGGAGAGGCAGCGTCACGATTCTTTTTTTGTATTCAGCCAATTCCAGGTGAAGGGGAAGAGGGATGCATCACGGAGGAAGGTCGTTCGGGCAAGCTTTTTCTCTCCCTAGCACCTGCTGCAGCTAGCGGGGCTGGCTGGCCAGGCGGGCAGTCACGAGTGCGAAAGGTCGAGGGCGGCTGAGGACAGGGCCAGGGGTGGGGATGGGAAAAAAGAAGGACACGTCCCCAGTGCCAGCTAAGCTGCCTTTGAGGCAACGCCACTGCGGCAAGCAAACGCGAAGCATCTCTATCCCCACGGTGCGGCCAGGCCCACCAATGCCAGG